CACCTCAGTACCAAACTAGGCCTAAGTATGTGGGGTGCAGTCAACAACATGTGGGGTGTGTATAAAACAACCCTTTAGTAATTGTACCCTCTTGCATTAACAAGGAATTTTAAGTTTTCTTTCTCTAATTGCGTTCTTTTAAGTTTTCTTTTGTATATAAGTTGTACATAATAGTAATAGTACCCTCTTACATTGACAAGGAATTTTTTTAATATATGATATATATTACAGATTTTTATTTTTTATTAACAAAGTCAAAACACCAAGTCCAAAACAAAAGAGAAAAAAAAAAAACTACATCAAAACAACTCAGAGCCTAGCAGCCCCACCAATAACATGGAAAATAAGGTTGGCACACAAATTTGATAAACAATAGTATAATTTACAATAAATTCAATTAAATTACGAGGAGGGAGAACTTCGAGGCTAAAAATAAATGATTTTAACCAACTGAGTTACAAGTTATTTGTGAGAACGGATGATTATTAAAAAAACGCAACCCTATATATTAGGGAAAATTTATATATTGACTGTAAAGTATATAAAGAAAAATTGGTTTCACACAATATTATCTCAAAATTTTTATTGAACTTTATACTACATATCTCTTACATGAAAATCAATAATGATAGTAGCAAATGACGGATGCCTAGGTGGTTAGCATATCTTCTTCAATTCACTGCGTTCCGAGTTTAAACTCTTTTTTTAATATAACATTATTGTGTGTGTCTGAATTGTTATGATTCGTGAGAAACCAATTACCCTCCCTATAAAATGACAATGATATAGCTCCAAATGTTCAAAATTATAATGGCCGAGAACCAGATCATGAACCAAAAGGTGCTAGATTTGAAAATTATCTAATTTAGTCGGCTAACTGGTTTAAAATAATTGGAAAGGATGAGTTTATATTCCATCGATCAATTCATTTTGCGTTTTTATTTGACAGGATAGAATTATATTAAGAATCTAAATTGATTGATTGAAACGTCGTATGTCATGGTGCGGTGTCGTTTTACATGAGTATGAATTATGAATTTATATTTATTTGATAGAGCAGGTGCACCTGATCTGGTATATGCTCCAGTTTATACATTTCTTGGAATTGCATGACCAGACTGAGGTATATATGGGTTTGGCAGGCAGAGGCATATTTTATGAACCGTATAGCCCAAGAAACCTCTACAAGAAACGGTAGAGGGGTTGGTCCCTTCAAAGCTTGGAGCTCATTTGGTAGGCTGGTTACGACATGTTATTTTCATTTAGAGTGGACTTTAACCCAACCCATGTTTGATGAGCTAAATTGTATCACGGACCGGATTAGGAGTTCGGGATTTGATTCCGTAATAGGACGCGATTTGAGTTCATAACACGACCATGGGTTACTAAGCAGATCACCTCCGCCAATTCTTTCGCAGGACGTTATCTCATCTCCTTTCTTCAGGTGAATCGGAGATTTGGTTTTTCCGGTATGGGTCGCGTGTTTTGAGCAGTTTGAGGGGTTCGCGAACGCTATTGCGGGTCTCGATCGGCGTTGTCGCGAGTTGATTACTGGGTCTGGGTAGGTCGCTGGGTTGTTGCTGAGAGAAGGACCAGCCTTTGTGCCTCTTCCTCGTTTTTATATTTTTATATTTTTTATTTGGGTTCGTTAATTTATTTTTCTTGTTTTTTGATAAGATTTATTATTTGAATTAGTTTTTTATAAAAAGGTTTGTCTTATATTGAAAGTTTTCTGGAAAAAAAAATTGAAAGTTTATTTACTTCTTAAATAATAACCATAGCCAGTCCAGTCTTGTTTGGTTTAGAGTGTACCAAACAAGTCTCATCCCATCCAGTCCAATATTACAACTTATATTCATGCCAATCCACCAAACGTGAGGTGTACAACCAATTTATCACAGTAGAATTATTACTTGTAGCATAACTATCTAGGAGTAGCAGAGGCTTATATATGTAAATTATAATTTCGATGTTCATCATAATTCAACATAAAATTTTGGTTTATATGATAATTTAACTTGATCTCCATTTCTTGATATTCATCTGTTCAAAAATGATTCAGTACTTTTAGATTTTGAATTCTCATTTGAATTGGATCATCATTTCTATACAACCACAACAATTGAAGACAACTAAAATGATGAGTAGAAATCAAATTTCAATTGCTAAACTGATCAAAATTAAATATCGACGACATATTGAAAGAGTTGATCATTTTGGCAAATTGAGGTTTTAAAAATAATTATTTTGACTAATTCCCCCCAAAAAATATTTTCAAGATCCTCAACTGATTAAAAGTAGTATTGACAAATATTTTCAAACAAGCAATTGGCTTCATTTCAAAGAATTGAAGGAGAAACACCAAGTTTTGTCATTTCTTAAATTTAATTATATAGTTTTAGAGAATGCAATCTTCTCTCTTTCATAAACCTCAAGAATAGAATTTTAACTACTATTTGTAACAAGGCGATAATCTATACTAAACTATTCAGAGGAGGAAGATTCAAACTCGAGTGCAAGAAGGCGAATGCCGACTTGAATTTTAAGAAACAAATAAAAATAAAATAAAAGTAACCACTTTTTTCAAACCTTCTGGATCTTTCTTTTAGTATGCGTTTCATTTGTAGCATATGTCCATGGCGGACTTTTGCAAAATGCCAGAAGAATTGGTGCTGCAGATCTTCTCATGGCTTCCTCCGAAATCTCTATTGCGATTTAGATGTGTTCGTAAATTGTGCTACAAATTCATCAGTAAACCTAGCTTTGTGGATGTGTACCTCTCCAAATCCATAGGCACACAAATTTTCATACACAACATGCATGCATCCTTTTCAAGCGTTGCATCCTCAACGACACCAACGATGACTCGAAGAAAATTTTGTTGTCACTTGACTCACTTCTATATCTTTGCAGTGACAACAATAGTGATGTCTATTACCTTCAAGATCTCAACCTCAACTTCTTTAAGGCTACAGCATATTGAAGTCCACAGGTGTATGGAATTTGGCTACGATCGAAAAGCTAAAGACTACAAAGTTGTTAGAATCGTAATGCATTACTGAGTGTTTTTGGATATTTTTTCACCCTCTCACGGCAGAGGTGAATACTATGAGTTCAAACGCCAGGCGAGAGATCAAAGTTGATATGCCTAGTACTGTGGTTTGGTTTCCTTCTTCCCAAATGTACTTCAAGGGTTTTTACAATTGGTTTGCCCTAGAGCTAGACAAACAAACCCTAGATGAAAACAAGAAAGTTATCCTTTCGTTTGACATGGATGACGAATTATTTTATGACATATTCGTGCCAGATAGTTTACAAGATAGAAAAGAATGTTATGGAAGCCTTACAAAATGAGGAATGAATCTGCTTCTTATGGTTGCCACAGTTGAACGTGTAGTTTCTGACAATTTTGATACCAAAATGCTTAAAGAACATATTCGTGGTGTGCGTTTAGAACGCTTTCAAGCTTTTGTTTATATGTATATATAGTCTCATTTCAGTGATATGAGAGAAATCAATTCTAATGCAGAAAACAAAACCACTTAATATTGATAAACATATCGATTGTTAACATATTGTTTGCTAATGCTATAGAACTTCAACTACATAACTGTCGATATTGTGTCCATATACTTGTCCTTGAAAAATGAAATTATATATGGAAAGAAAATGTTGATGTGATAATATCTTAGCATTCGTTCAGACAAGATACATGATACATTGGCCTAAAACTGTTGGAGAGTTACCATTATATCCACATCATTTTAGAACTGAACGTAAAACTGCTAAGAGTTTACATAGGCATACAAATCTTCCCTTATATTGGAATAGAAAACAAGACAATATGAAAGCTTAACTCAAAAAAATCTAGCAGCATAGAAATCCATGCATGCCTCTTTGGTCTCTCATCCTCTACCAGTTTGCCTTGTATTCAGAGTTTCGAATATGTATCTTTGTCTTTCACAAAAATTTACAGCTTGTACAGCTCTTGCTCTCCTTGTTCCAGATCCAGCCACGTCAAACTCATTCTTTCCGCACTTCCACGCATCTCCACCTGCGTAAAACCGCCGTTAGTAATTGCTTTTCCAATGTCTGCTCATACATCATTATCATCATAACTTGGTCAAAATCATGTAGATTGGTCGGCTTTTCTTTCTTTTTTTCGATTATAGTAACTAAACGAATATTAGCAAAGACTAGGTCCCCGAAAGATAACCAACAGAGCAAGAGGGACTTGCTTCTTTTAATCACAATCGAGTTAGCAAAACTATGAGGTAAAAGAAATCCACTTAAAGGTCAAGGACCCAAGAGGTTCTATGAATGACCAACTATAATATACAGAGAACAAATGGAAAGAGAAAGGCATAGAGACACTAACCGGAAGATTACTCTGAATCAGAGGACATTTGAGAACGTGGATCCAGTGTCGTGATCATTTTTTACAGCATCTCACCCATGTCTTCCAATTCATACTTTGCAAAGCCCCAACTTCTAACTAACTCCACCCCAGGTGCTCCTCTGGCCATCCCACAGCTACGAAGGTCGCCCTATTAGTGTATAAGCTGTGAGCTAAGTAAAGATAAAGTAAATAAGCCTTGTTTTGAATTGTGTATTCACTTAGTCTTAGATTATGACAAGTGTAAGGCTGAGATTGTATTGTTGGTTGTGTGTATCCAACTAAGGCTAATAGTTATGTACTTATGCCTTAGTGCGTGTGATGTGTGTGAGATATATGAAACATCACCTCTCAGACTTTGAGAGAGCAGAGCATTTCTTCATATTTGAATCTTTCTCTATTCTTTCAGATTTCTTACTTCCATAGAAACCCAGCTAATTCAAATAACTCTAACATGGCCTCAGAGCCAGATTCGATCATTTGAGATCTGGGAGTAAACTGTGAAGTAATCGAGCTATACTCGAGCTCGTTCCGATTCAGGCGAAGACGCCAAAACACCATAGAATCCGATTTCGGTTTGTGTTCGTCTCGTCTAAGCTAAGAGATGGCTGGATTTGGAAGTTCTGAGGTGAGAACTCCGATCTTCTCCGGTGAGAACTACGAGTTCTGGAGAATCAAGATGGTGACGATCTTCAAATCTCTTGGGTTATGGAAATTAGTTGAAAAAGGGATTACGATCTCAGAAACAAAGAAGAAGAAGAAAGCTGAAGGAAGCTTAGAGGAAGAAGAAGACGATGAGAAAATGGTCGCAACATATATACAAGATGCAAAAGCTCTGGGTATTATTCAGAATGCAGTCTCAGATCAGATATTTCCTCGGATAGCTAATGCAGATTCTGCGAAGATGGCATGGGATCTGTTATATGGTGAGTACCATGGTGGTGATCAGGTAAGATCTGTGAAACTACAAAATCTGAGACGTGAATTTGAGTATGCTAGGATGCGTGATGATGAAACTTTGTCTGGATATCTTACTAGGCTAAATGAATTGATTAATCAGATGAAAACATTTGGTGAGATTCTGTCTAATGAAAGGCTTGTGCAGAAAGTTCTGATTAGTCTTAGTAAACCATATGATCCCATATGTCTAGTCATTGAAAACACAAAATGCTTGGAGACTGTAGAATTGCAGGAAGTTGTAGCAATTTTGAAAAGCCAAGAACAACGGTTTGATTTACATACTGTTGATGCAACTGAGAAAGCATTCTCTTCACTTTCTGTGAATCCAAAGGAACAAAACAGGAGCAGTGCATACTCTGGTTCATCCAAATCTCAGAAAAACTGGAATTCTAAAGGCAAGAAATGGGAGTCTAAGCCTAAGTTCCAACAGAGATCATTTACTAATTCTGCACAGAATTCATCTTCTTCAGGATTCATGAAGCAAGATATAGTTAACCACAGTGTAAAGTGTGCTCTAAGTTTCACTTTGGAGAATGTCGATACAAGGGACAATCCAAATGTCACAACTGTGATAGGTTCGGGCATTGGGCTAGAGAATGCACAGCAGGCAAGGTTGTTTAGAAGGCAAACTGTGCTAATCAAGCAGAAGTGACAGGCAATTTGTTTTATGCTAACAGTGCAATTACTGAAGTCAAGGTGAATGAAAACTGGTACATTGATAGTGGTTGTAGTAACCACATGACTGGAAATGCTGAACTACTTATGGATGTAAGGACAAATGTCACTGGAAAAGTACAAATGCCCACTGGAAATCTGGTAGATGTTGCTGGAATAGGTTCACTTGTGATTGATACAAATTCTGGTAGTAAATGCATCAAGGAAGTCATGTTTCTACCTGGTTTGAAGGAAAATCTGTTGAGTGTGGGACAGATGGACGAACATGGATATTATTTGCTATTTGGTGGAAGAGAGTGTTGTATATTTGATGGTCCTTCACTTGATTGTCTGGTTATCAAGGTTAAGATGACAAGTAATAGGTGCTACCCTTTGTCTTTAATGCAAACTGATCAAGTTGCATTGAAGGCTAGTGTAAATGAATGTACCTGGACTTGGCACAAGAGACTAGGACATCTAAATCTTAGAAGCCTCAAGCAGCTTAGAGAAAAAGAAATGGTGCATGGTCTTCCACACCTTGAAGATGTTGATAGTGTGTGTGTAGGATGTCAAATGGGAAAACAACACAGAGATTGGTTTCCAAAAGGACAAGCTTGGAGAGCTAAGAATCCTCTAGAATTGATACACACAGATTTGTGTGGTCCCATGAATACTGAATCTATTGCTGGGAATAAATATTTCATATAAATATTTCATGTTGTTTATTGATGATCACACAAGAATGTCATGGGTTTATTTCCTACGACATAAGTCTGAGGCACTAATCTGTTTCAGAAAGTTCAAAGCAATGGTGGAGTTACAATGTGGATTTAAAGTGAAATGCCTAAGGAGTGACAGGGGGGATAATTTCTCTCAACTGAATTCAGCAAGTTGTTGGAATCTGAAGGCATATAAAGACAGTTATCCATTGCTTATACTCCACAGCAAAATGGAGTAGTGGAGAGAAAGAATAGAACAGTTGTAGAGATGGCTAAGGCAATGCTTCATGATAAAAGCATGCCATACTTTCTGTGGGCAGAACCTGTACATACAGCTGTTTATATTCTAAACAGATCACCTACAAAAGCTCTTGACAATATAACTCATTTTGAAGCCTATAGTGGGAGAAAACCAGGAATTGGTCACTTAAAAATGTTTGGATCACTCTGTTATGTTCATGTACCAGCAGAAAGAAGACAAAAGCTTGATGCAAAGTCTGTCAAAGGTGTGTTTGTGGGTTATGCAACTTGTGAGAAAGGGTACAGAGTATTTGATCCATGTTCAAGGAAGTTAATCCTATCAAGGGATGTGATTTTCGATGAAACTATATCTTGGAATTGGAAGCCGAATTCAGAGAAATCTATTGCAATAACTGACATTCAAGATCAGTATAGGACTGTGAGTGATTTCAGTCTACAAGAAGTGACAGAAGTAGAAAATAGTAATCAAATGGAAGAACAAGATAGAGATGTCTCTGAAACTGTTGAGATTACTAGTCCTTATGATCATACACCAGTTAAATGGAGAAATATCAGTGATATCCTAGCACAATGCAATCTTTGTATTGTGGAGCCAGAGAAGTATGAGGAAGCTGCACAAGATAAAGCTTGGATTAAAGCTATGAAAGAAGAAATATCCATGATTGAGAAAAATGAAACTTGGAAGCTTGTAGACAGACCAAGTGATAAGCAGGTTATTGGTGTGAAATGGGTGTTCAAAACCAAACTGAATTTTGATGGCTCAGTACAAAAGAACAAGGCAAGGCTAGTTGCTAAAGGATATGTGCAGAAACCAGGACTCGATTACAATGAGACTTTTGCTCCAGTTGCCAGATTGGACACCATCAGAACACTGATTGCACTTGCTGCACACAGAAGCTGGAAGATATTTCAATTAGATGCTAAGTCTGCTTTCTTAAATGGAATATTGTAGGAAGAAGTATATGTTGAACAACCTGAAGGGTTTGTGATTAATGGCAAAGGAAGACAAAGTTTACAAATTGCACAAGGCTCTTTATGGCTTGAAACAGGCGCCTAGGGCCTGGTATGGAGAGATTGACATCTATTTTGCTAAGTGTGGGTTTGAGAAAAGCTTAAGTGAAGCAACTCTCTACACTAAGACAATGGGAGAAAAAGATATACTAATAGTCTCCATATATGTGGATGATATTGTGTATACTGGAAACAATCAAGATATGCTGGATGAGTTCAAAGAAGATATGAAGGAGAAGTATGAGATGTCAGACTTGGGCCTTCTTCACCATTTCCTGGGGATGGGGATAATTCAAACAGAATCTAGCATCTTCATTCATCAAAAGAAGTATGCCTCTTCCCTGTTGGATAAGTTTGGATTGAAAGAATGTAAATCTGTCTCTATACCTCTTGTGGCTACTGAAAAGTTAAGTAAAGAAGATGGAAGTGGTGCAGCAGATGAAGAGAAATACAGAAAGCTTGTAGGCAGTTTATTGTATCTTACTGCTACAAGACCATATGTGATGTACGCAGCTAGTTTGTTAGCTAGATATATGCATGGTTCTTCTAACAAGCACTATGGGATAGCTAAGAGAGTGCTCAGATATATCAAAGGAACACTGGATTATGGTTTGCATTATGTGAAGGGCAAGAAAGCAGTTTTAGTTGGTTTCTGTGATAGTGATTGGGAAGGATCAATAGATGACAGCAAGAGTACCTCAGGCTATGTTTTTTCTTTTGGCAGTGGGGTGTTCTCATGGGCTTCTGTGAAACAAAATTGTGTTGCACTATCCACAGCAGAGGCTGAATATATTAGTGCTGCCGAAGCAACATCTCAAGCTATATGGATCAGGTTTGTTCTTGAAGATTTTGGAGAGTTACAAGCTGAAGCAACTCCTTTGCAGTGTGACAATACGTCTGCAATCTCAATAACTAAAAATCCAGTGTTTCACCAAAGGACTAAGCACATTGACAGAAGATATCACTTCATAAAGGATGCCTTGCAGCAGGGAATTGTTGATTTGGTATACTGTCCAACCAAAGAACAAGTGGCAGACATTTTTACCAAGGCCTTACCAAAAGAGAGATTCAACTATCTCAGAGATAAGCTTGGAGTTGTATCAGCTTAAAGCTTAAATGGGAGTATTAGTGTATAAGCTGTGAGCTAAGTAAAGATAAAGTAAATAAGCCTTGTTTTGAATTGTGTATTCACTTAGTCTTATATTATGACAAGTGTAAGGCTGAGATTGTATTGTTGGTTGTTTGTATCCAACTAAGGCTAATAGTTATGTACTTATGCCTTTGTGCGTGTGATGTGTGTGAGATATATGAAACATCACCTCTCAGACTTTGAGAGAGCAGAGCATTTCTTCATATTTGAATCTTTCTCTATTCTTTCAGATTTCTTACTTCCATAGAAACCCAGCTAATTCAAATAACTCTAACACGCCCAATCTATTCTCCAAAAATGGCAAGACGGCACTGCTAGACCGTAGTCTAGCTGCCATAGGGATGGAATGGACATCAAGTGATCCCCTTGATGGGGAACCAACAATTGGCGTGCTTAAAAGTTCACCATGTTGGTCAACAAGGTTACCAAAGATTGAAGGAAAAGGCAAGGTATTGGAAGAGGACATTGAGCCACTGACAGATGGCAGAACATAGGCCTTGCCATGGACTGTCATGGATTCTACTAATTATAAGTCCTCGACATCTTCTGCTATCTCTTGTGTCAATGGCTGCAAATTCCCTGTTATATTTTGACCAACCCGATTCTATTGGAAATGACAAATAATTAACCGAAATCACTGCTAACAACTGAGGGTCTGATACGAAAACCGATTGAAGTAAATACCAGTTAAAGAAGGGGTGCATTGCAGCATCCAGAATGGCAACCATATTCTGCCTAGCCTGCCCTGATAGGATTTGCACAACCTCACTAATAGTCATAACCCCAGCTTCATTTGAGATCTATTCTTGATGATTTTTGTGGAACAAAAAAATAATCAGGAAGAATATGGGGGCAACACGTGGATTATAGGGTAAAAAGAGAAAATTACCCTCGAGGAACACTGTAACTCCTACACGCGAGCAGTGGACAACCATTACTCAATCAAGTCAAAAGTGCCTAAAATGGAGAACAACATTTGTCTCGACAAGTTATAGAATTGACGAGCGCCTTTGCACATTAGGCGACCTTGTTGAATCAGCTATTGCAACACACTAAGATGCAATGTGCCCTAGACGAGGTGTCCTAAAGTAGGACAAGGGCAAACGAAGAACCTCTTCAGCAGCGTCCTGGCAAGCAGCCACCCGACCAACCACGAACAGAGCGTTCGAGCAATGTACACTCCCGATTGGGCCCCTGAGATAGCGTATACTCCCGTCTTAACGTGCAGATGAGCGTGCACTTTCGACTAGGCCCACGGACGAGCATATATTCATGATTGCGGCCATACTCCAATAGTCAACATGAGCAACCTTCAAAGCGAAATGTTAATTCACGGCTAGGCTCACAATAAGCATCATCCATCTCACATCGGAGTAGGCAGTACTAATGACGGAGAGAAGTAGTTACTCAGTTTGGCTTAAGTTCAACCAGCAGTTTGCGAAAAATTCCCTCGCTTACTAGGAACAAACCACATGCACCGTAGTCGCGACATAGACGAGCCGAGCAAGTAGAAGAACAGCCTAGACCAGTAGGTGAGACCAGGGGCAGCCGAAAGCTCCTTTACCCCCAACAAAGGTAAATTCTGAAAGAAGTGGAAAGGCTGCTGACCGAGGGATTGTGCGATTTCCAACTGAACAAGGTCACTAACGAAGCACTATGATAGGACATGATCAACATAAGTAGGTCATCATTCATGGACGAGATCGAGCAGGCAGAGCCTCCATGCAAGTTCAGCATGCCACATTTCACATCATTTAAAGGGGATATAAACCCGGAGAGACCTAAAGCACTACCGAAGCGCAATGATCCTCTATCGAAACAACGACGATCTCATTGCAAGATATTCGCACCACTCTA